CATTGGAAAGTGTCGTGTTGCAATATAATGCTGTGTAGTGCAAGAGTTTGGGTTGTATTGTGAGTATCTTGCTACGACTACCGATAACTTACTTTTTTTTACTAGCTCTTTTCTAAGGTAGAGGGGCTAAAAGCTCGAAGTGGTGGCTCGCATACATTTGGCCGGCGACGACAAACTTAAGCCTTCTTTATATGTTCTCTCTAGTGCACTAGGTAGTAGGTGATTATCAATTTGACACAAGTTGTGCGACACAACATTAATAAAACCTAAAAATACGGGTTCTATCCAAGCTTACACCGTAGAGAACTTTCTCATCTCAAATGAGAACCTCTGCACTGTCTTACCAAAATTTCATGAGTGATACCATGCCGATGGCACAACTTTTTGTGCATGACTGAAGGACCTTCAGTGAAGACACGCTAGGGTGTCGTGATTCCGGATGGTATCATGGTAACCACATTACTTTTACGTTCAACTAGCACGATGGCATGTTCATGGTGTTGAAGACATGCTGCGAAATTTTAAAATCTTCGCTTCTGTTTTTTTATTTGTCAATTGGCAACCTGCACAAGGTGCCGACTATTGCATCTCGCAGCGTACTTTCAGCGATATAAACCCCATTTGGGATATTCAATGCAATCACGGGTTGCTACAAGCACCCTATACTTAGTAATTCACAAAAATTTTACGTGGGTCAGAGGAATGCCACAGCAATTTCCTCGAACCACTGCCCAATCCACTAGTAGAGTCCTCCTTCTATTGCTCCTTTGGTTCATACTTCGAGAGAAATACTATAGCTCTGACCAATTGCTCATTTGGTAGGTATTTGATGTAATTTTGCTGCTCCTATTATGGCTCGTTGATACTGCTAGGTAAGAAAAGAAATAACTATTGAATATGTTAATGTGCACGTTAAATAATGCGAACGGGATTGGTACATGTACAAGAAGCGAAAGCGTACTCTTCAACTAATTACTGGCATAGATAAATGTTCAAAGTATCTCGACTTTTTAAAGTTTTGTGCTCCCGCTGCTAATGGTAATATAAAAAAGATAACTTCGCTTTTCAACAAGGTGAAAGTCTCTAATCCCGGGATCGTGAGGAGACGCAAAGGTGTATCGAGCTAGACGAGAGAACCCACCTGCCTGACATGGTAGCAGTCTAGTTTCATATCACTTCGCTTTTTACCGCCTACCAACCAACCAAACAACTCTCCAATGACCCCTTCGCTAGTATCAACACTTGCAGTGGCTGCAACTCTGTCGTGTGCTGTTCTGTCAACCGACGCCCACCAAATCGTGCTGCAACCGGAGCCGCAATGGACGACGGACAACAAGGATATCAAGTATAACCCACTCGCTTTTCTCGAAGGTCAAGGTTTCCAAACTCAAGAGGACTTTAACGCTTGGCGTCGCGACAACGGATACAAGACTCTCCGTGACTTCATGGACAGAGCCAAGTACACGGTTACCGAAGGTGCCGATTACTTCTGTGGATGGACGGACCCCAAGGGTACTCCGCAGCCCATTCCAGCGGGTGGTGCCATGCGTTCAACCGGTTACACTCATGACGGACCATGCGAGGTGTGGCTGGATGATGTTCGTGTGTTGGAGGGTGGCAATTGCCACGAATCGATCCCTGGGAAGGACTACACCATCGACTACTCATCGTGCGAGAAGAAGGGTGGCTGCGTGCTACGCTGGTACTGGTTGGGTGTCCGCTTCCTCAAAAACTCGTACTCGTGGCAGGTGTACAAAGAGTGCATTCCACTCACAACCACGCCAAAGCGCCTGCGTGTGTAAAGAAAAAAAAATGTTGGCGTGTTAACTACGCTCGTTCACGCAGCATCACAAAGGGACGTTGCAGCGTTAAATTTCTTTTGCTTTCAATCAAAATAAAATCCCAGCAACTGTAGTTCTAATCTAACGCA